TAACAGCAACGAATTTTACAAATGATGAATTTATCAAATCTCGAATGGAAAATGGACGTTACGTTAATTCATTTAATTCACAATATACAACATCTGGTTTTATGTCGTTTTTAAAATATAAGATAACAACACGATCCAATGTACAATTACCAAATACAAAAGAAGAACTTGATAAATTTTTACCGATTATTCAACATCGAAAACGTGAAGATCTCAATCGAACAGTACCTGGTCTAAGATTTATCTGGATTGGACATGCATCATGTTTTATCCAAATGAATAACTTTCGATTTCTTATTGATCCAGTTTTCAGGTAAATCTTCATTTTGTTTCGATAAAAAAACAAGAATTGATTTAATATAGTGAACGATGTGGTATGTATTCACGTTTCGGACCAAAACGTTTTCGACCACCCGCTTTAACAGTTAATAATTTACCAGATGATCTTGATGCTATATTTATAACACATAATCATTATGATCATCTCGATTATCTTAGTGTAAAAGATTTAAATAATCGTTATGGTGAACAATTAACTTGGTTTTGTGGTCGAGGAGTTCGAGAAACGTTATCGAATATGTATGTTAAGAATATTATCGAACTCGACTGGTGGGAAGAATATTTCTTTTTAGTAAGAATATTTTCATTTTTTTTGAAAAATCTTTTACAATGATTTTGATATTTTAGAAAAAAGATATTAATATTGCGTTTTGTCCAGCACAACATTGGTAAGATTTATTGATTTATTTGTATGATGAAATACATTTCTTCATTGTAGGAGTCGTCGTGGTCTATTCGATACAGATAAATCTTTATGGGGTGGTTTTGCTATTTGGGATAATACATATAAATTTTATCATGCTGGAGATACGGGTTATACACATAATATTTCAATTTTTCGACAAATTGGTCAAAAATATGGTCCATTTGATTTAAGTGCTATACCAATTGGTACCTATGAGCCAAGATCAGTAATGAAAAATGAACATGTATCACCGGATGAAGCTGTTCAAATACATAAAGATGTTCAATCAAATAAATCAATTGGTATTCATTGGGGTACATGGACTATGAGTAATGAATATTTTATGGAACCACCAAAAAAACTTAAAGAAGCACTTCAAAATAATCATCTTGATCCAACATCATTTATTGTATTGAAACATGGTGAAATTCTAGATTTACCCGAATAAATCAACTATATTTATCTTCTTTTATTATTCTTCATGTGGAATGATTCAATATAATAAAATTTTATTGATTAATTGGTATTTGTTACCAAAAAAAGATCATCAATGTGAAATCGGCTTGGTGAAAACCCTTCAGTCGTCTGATTTGAGATGCAATCATCAGATCTACGTAGATTATTTAGATAGTCTTATACATTATCACTTGTTTTCCTCTCGGAATGCAAAGTTCTCTATTCTATTTGATAATCATTCAAAATTGTCTTGTGCTTCTATGCTGATAATTTATTATTATAAACTAGCGATAAGACGTATGCTGTCTTTTTGAAAACCTGCATATTTTGTGAGTATGTAAAAGAAATAACACATCATTATTGAGTGTGAGTAGATAGTTCGAAACGATACATCCACAAAGCTATTGATGAGCTTTCTGCAAACCCGTCTTTAATAATTATTGATGATTATGGTTCATCACATATGTTAGTCTTTGTTTTTTTAAGAATTAATTCACATCTATTGCCCATCATAATTAATTAAGTCTGAATAACTACAAGTAGCATTCACCGAAATTCGATTTACTTGGCTCTAGACTGTCGCAGTCTGCATGCTGATATAACTGTATTTAGATACGAATGAGAATTATTCAATATTGGTTTTGACTTTTAGTAGAAAACCAAGCATTATTACAGTCAATTTTATAAAAAGTAGGATTTCAAAAAAAAACTACAATGGAGATCTTTTTATCACTATATACCAAAATTGATTTTGAACTCTTTTATCTATATGTACTATAGCAAGACGATCAAACTACAATGCGTATGTTTTTAAGCTTTTAATCCTGAGTCGTATTTTATTGAGTTGCCGTACGGGACGTTGTGGATGATGATAAATGACATGCCATATAGAAACAGGCGAACATTTTTTTCAAAGCTTTATAATACTCTGTGCATACGAACGTTCCGTTTTTTTCCTATTAATATTATGTTCATCTTCCTACATATTAAAAATAAAATTGGCGTTGCCTCGTTATTTTAATTTATTGAATAAAATAATGATCATTTGTACCAAAAAATGGTCACTTGTGCCATGTTACCGACAAAAATAATACATGTAAAAGGATAATTCCCATTTCTAGACCCTATCCTTTTCAGTCTAGGGAATTATTCGACTTCTATGTTAAGTTATTTATTCATTAATTGAAATTAATAAAGTTTGTTTTCGAAAGATAAATGATGTCATCTCTTTATATTATGATTGATTTGTTATCTTTTCCTATATATTTACATAACGTGAAGAATGATGAAAATAGTATCCATTTAATGGTTACTAAAATTTTCAATCGTTGTTAACTTAATAAAATATTTGTGTTACTGTTCAATAATCTGAATAAACTAGACAATTATACCTGATATCAATTAATTTTCTTATGCCTTGACTAAATTTGTGTATAATCAAATATTCTTAATGGACTTACTTATGTTTTTATTAATGATAATGTATGTAAACAAATTACTACTTGACGTAATACAAGAAATGAAAAAAAAAAAGAAATCATAATGATTTGGATATGATAAAAAGCGAAATAGTATTGACATTTGTTTGATGATGATGATCCAGACACACACCCGTCGACACTTGCCAACATTACATGTTTTTTTTTGTCTTTCTTTTTTTTTCTTGACTAGAAGAAAGATCATCATCATCATCAGTATCGCACATCTGGGTGCTTAAGTATAGATTCATATATAAATATACTGAAAAAAAAAGACAGAGATATAGTACATATTATGGACGATCGACTTCTTTTGTCAGACAATACTGATGATGATCAAGCACAAGGTGATGGATCATTGTCTTCAATGACTTCTGACGACGATGATGATGATGATGATGAGGATGCTGAAAATACTCGTCCATTAACAAGTTCATTAACATCTTTTTTATCTAATGAAGATATCGATAAATGTCTGTACGTGACAAATATTAATTGGCGACGAAGATTTTCTGTAAGTTAAAAAATATAAAAATAAAAAAGGGAGAAAGAAACAAATTTAGATAATTATATATTTTGTATGTCCATAAGTAACACGTGTGAATATCAAGCCAGAAAATTTGTTGTTAAGTCTCGTTAATCATAATCTTTTTTCGACATATATCTATTTATCCTTTGACTCATATCTACTTGAGGGCTAAATATATGCGCGCGTCGATTGACAGAAAAATAAGGCGTAAATTTATTTTTTTGTCTTTTATTCTTATCTGTCTTGTTTTTTTTGTCTTTATTGAATAATATTATCATTAAATTCTCGATAAGAAACTTGTTACTTTTCATTAATTCGATCTAAATTAACAACATTAATAATAAATATCTCTTCGTTTTTTTCTTTTTTTGTTTCTATATAAATTTATAGGATTATATAGACTAGATGACATTGAATTTGATTGATCTCATGTTTTTACTCGAGGGATAAATTTAGTATGTGCTGATATATATTTTTCCTTTTTTTTTCTAAGTTATTTCTTTGTCGGTAACAACAATCATTGATGATGTTGACGACCCTGACGAAGAGCAAAACAAAAGAGCACACCGCTGCTACTGGCGATTGTATGTTTCTTCTCTAAGCTCATCATTTACAGATATACATAAGACGACGAGCAGATATCAGCAAGAGAAAAAAAAGAAAATCGAGAAGAAGGAGAGAGAGAAAAAAAAAAGTGTTTCTTACTAAATGGCAGCAACAGCAGAATGATGTTAAACCCGTCCCCCTCAATCGACCATTTTTGACAGTGCTCTTGGCTAAGCTATCAGGACGAGCAGCTCGGCATATGTATCGACATTTGGTAATCTATGATGATACAGAACGAACGAACGACGAGAAAGCTCTCGCTCTCTCTCTTTTTGCTTCTTGTTGATCACATACTGTTTGTACCGATGAGATTTCTCTCTTGTATATGTAACAACAGGCAGCGTAATTATTTCTATTCTCTTCTTTCTCTTTTCTCTATATTGATTTTTATTTTATACTAAGTAACATTCACTATAAACAAAATCATTTGCTATATATTAATCTGAACAAGTATTTTTTTCTGTTGCCTTATTTCAAAGATTCGTTTATCAAATGGACAATTAGATAATTTACAATATGATCGACGTGAAAGAGTTTATTCCGCAAGTTCAACTGATCATATAAATTTAAATCGAACAAATCCATTATATCTTTCACGTTATCGTAATTCGTGGTGGTTTCGTAGTCGAACAGTATCACCATCATCATCATCATTTGATGAATATAATTCATCATTAAATTCCACAACAACAGCATATGCTCGTTTAAAACGTTTTACACAACGTTTACTTGAATTAGAACGTAAAGCACTTGAAAATAATTTTGATAATAAATGTAATAAACAAATTTCAACAAAAACGGATCATACAATTGAAAAAACAAACGATCGATCGTTTAAAAAAAACGACGATCATTTATCTTCCAATGTTCGTCAAGAACAAATTAAAAAAAAATCTATTCATTTACCAAAGTTAGTATAGAAAATTGTTTTTTTCCGTCTTCTTATCTCTTATTTTTAGTTCAAAAATAAAACTTCGTCGTATTCATAGTTATCCACAATTAATCAAAAAACAAACATCAACCTATGTTCCATTACGTCGTATACGAACTATGTCAAATATTAAATTTTTACCAACTGAATTACATTCAATACCAAATCAAAATATTCTACAAGAAAAATCTAATCCAATAATAAAAGAAAAACAAATATCATTTGAAGTTAAAACAAATAGTTATAATAGAAAAATTGAAGTTAAAACAACACAAGAAGATAAAATATGTACAAAAACAAAATCAACATCAACATCACCATCTATAGTTACACGAATTATTAAAACTGAAACAACACCAAATCATATTAATGTACAACCAAAACAAAGACAAACTTCAAGTAGCTCTATACAACGTGTTCGTGTTAGTGTTAGTTCATCACCACAAGGAAGTGAACTTGAAAAAAATATTCAAACACAATTTTCCTATCCATCAATGCCAAATGATGAATCCTATTCATCAATGATATCAAATTTTGTTTCAGAAAATCTTACAACACCAACAAAATTTGATGAAGAAGAAACATTTGATCGTCGACCATTACTGGATCTTATTAGTGAATTAAATCGACGTCATACATTAAATCAGTCTACAATTATTCCTCAACTTGATAGAGATTTATCTATTGAAAGAAAACCATTATCACCAACACCCATTGATATTCTTCCACCGAAACCTTTAAGTCCCTTTCGACCAGTTATTGTTCATAAAAAATATCAAGTAAATAAAATTTTATTCTAAAAACAATATCAATATTCTTTTAATATAGGAGCCAATTGGTCGTTTTGAATTTGTTGATGCTAATCGAGATTCATCATCAAGTCGAAATAATAGTCCAGCATCAGTTAAACGTAGTCATACATTTAATAGCTCAACAAATAATAATTTAATAAAAAATTCTTCAAATGAAATCAAATCAAACGAAGATGCAACATGTCAATCAACACCTGAATTAAGTACTTGTTCGAATGATAGAGAAAGAACTGAGCCTGCAATTAATATCGAAGAAACTTGTGGATTATCAACAAGTGGTACTATACTAAGTAGTACATCACTCACAGGGTTGACTCCTACGTCTAGTGGAACGATTGACGACAAGAACGAGGTATGCACATGTTCTTTTTTCTTTTCCTTATTACGCTTTATCATGGCATACTAACTACTAAAAGAAGAAATTATCAGATCGTCGATAGAAATGCCTTTGCATCGTTTTTTTTTTCTTCCCCTTCTTCTGCTTCTTCTTCTCTTCTATCAGCTTATAACCATCTTCTGAGTCTATCTAACGACAACATAACAAACACATCATATTTATATATGGAATGTCAAATGTGATCCACATCATGTCGGATCAAAAGACATCACATTCACCTCCTTTAATCCGTGCATCAACTCCTATTGCTAACGATCGATCAATATCATCAAATTTTACATTTTATGCAGTTCGACGTCATCATTCCGCTCCTCAACAAGAATGTCGTTGGCAACAGGTTCTCATTTCTTATTCTTAATCAATCATAATTACAATTAATATCTTATACAAAATTCTTCTTTCTATTTTAGGCTAAACGAAAAGCTATTGCTATGCAAATGTATGATACAGAAAAATCATATGTTGAAGCACTTAAAAATCTTGTTACGGTAAATAAATTCTTGTTTTTCTTTCTTATTAAATAAGAGATCTTTTTAATTAAATGTTTACATTGTAAAATGAGAAATATTCTAATTTGTTGACATAGGCTATAATATCAAATAAATAAAAAAATCTTTTTGCTTCTCTTTTAGAAATATTATTTACCAATGAAAGATAAAGCAGTTATTTCAAATGATCTTGTTAATGATATTTTTTATAAAGTCCCTGAAATACATATACATCATACGGTAATTCGAATTGATTGTATTACTTAATTTAAAAACGTTGCTTTTTGTTCTTATCAGGCATTTCTTATATCGCTATCACAAAAATTATCTCAATGGGATAATAAGCAAACTGTTGGTGATCTTTTATTACAAATGGTAAGAAAAAAGAAACGTTTTCTTCTAATTTTTTTGTTTTAATCTATAGTTTACACGAATATCAGTGATTGAAACTTATACAAGTTTTGTTAATAATTATAAAACAGCTCAAATAGCAATTCGTCTTTGTCGAGATTCATCATCATTTAATAAATTTCTTGAACAACAAGCACGTATACATCGTGGACGATTAACATTAAGAGATTTAATAATTCAACCGGTGCAACGTATTCCAAGATATGAATTATATATAAAAGATTTTCTTAAATGTACAAATTTAAATCATCCGGATTATCAATTATTGCTTAAAGCACAATCAGAAATACATTCATTAGCTGAACAAATTGATCAAGTACAAAAAGATGTTGGTTCAACTGAATTAACTGTTACAAATAATTCATTAGAAGTTGTTCAAGATATGATTGAAAATTTAACTGATGTTTGTAGTTTTATTTGCCATTTGAAAATACATTTTGATGTTGTATTTTTGTAGTTAGTTACAGCTGATCGATATTATATTCGTCATGATGTTGTTACAATTCAATCTGTATCAGGATTAAAAAAAGATCGATGTATCTTTTTATTTAATGATTTAATTATTATAACAAGTTGTAAACGAAGAAGTGGAACATTAACAAAAAAATCTACTACTTCATTTATTGTGTATGTTGAAATTTATTTTGCTTTTTCTCATAAATTATTATTTATTCTAGAAATTCTCCATCGGGAAAACAATATATTGATAATGCTAAACATAAATTAATTATGAAGATTTCTTTAGAAAGTCTTGATTTAGCTGCAGGTAAATTATAAAATTAATGATGGTAATCGAAGAATGAGAAAAACTAATCAGCGGATTATGGTGATTTATTAGACCTTGAGTTTCAGATAATATCGAGATATTTTCTTAGAATGAGTATTAGTACTAGCATAAGAACTATGAAAGAAGCATCTTATGAGATTATCATCTATCTTATAAGAAATAGTTCGAAAAAAAAGCAGAATTTGACTATTTATATCTGATACTATCCAATAGATTTAATTTAAAATTAAAATATTAGTTTCTATGATGTTCTTGAATTAATAACGATGGAAAAGTAGTTAAGATGAACCGAATTGTTCCGCGCTATAGAATATGTATGTGTAACGTTGTGTAAATTCCTGTCGAGCGTATATTATATTATCTCATGGTTCTATTGGTGCTGAAAGAATATCAACGAAACGATTTCACGCTTTCGAAATCTATTTATAAAGACAGAAAGACAAAAATGTCAGATGAAGCGTAAAATATTTTGCGTACATTTCTTTACATAATTTTCTATAATAGATCATTTGAAAAAAAGAGGAACACCACCATCAATGATCAAATCTCTTTCAACAGCAAGTGCTAGTGGAGAAAAATATCGACATTTAGAAGATGATGTTGTTACTCTTGGACATATGACTGATTTAGCTAAAACCATAACTGTACCTCATCAAGTAATTATGAAATATTTTGTTTCTTCGAACGAACGTTTCTTTTTTTCTTGTTTTTAGCAATTAGATGAGTCTTTAAAAGAAACTCTTCATTCAATTAATAAACATATAACAGATGAAACAACATCTTTAGCAAGTGTAAGGACAGCAAGTCCTGAACCGAGTCTTATTGATAATGCTCAATTAAAACCAAATAATATTCAATTAATAATACATACAACGTATTTAGATAAAGTTTGTTTGATTGATTTAGTAATAATATGTTTTTTTTATATAGAGAACGTACGGAAACAATCGATGTTCTATTTTCATCGTCTGAACATCGAGCAACATGGGAAAGAAACTTTCTTGAAACAAAGAAAGCTCTTTGTATGTAGAATGATAATATTTATCTTATTTAATCTTCTTTGTATTAGTCGAAGTTGCAGCAGGACGACGAAATATTAGTTTTCAACATGTTCTTACTCTTCCACATAGTCGATCAGGAAGTCAAGTTTGTTGAAACAAAAAAAATCACTAATCTTATATAGTTTGCTTTTTTTTCTTCTTATAAAAATAATTATTTAGTTTTCCTGTGGTGCTCCTCGATTATCATTAGGTGATATATGTATTTGTAATTCAGAAGGTCAAGTATGTTTAGTTAATGTTCAACCTAATGTAACATTAAAAGCCTGCAATACAGTCATATCATCACGTATTAATTGTGTTGCTTATGTTCCATCACATAAAGGTCGACGAACAGGAAGTAGTATTAAACATCGTCATCATCATCATCATCATCATCAACATAAACAAAAACATGACGTCGAAGGAGAAGAAAGACAAGAACATAAACATGAAGAAATTATTCCTAAACAAGAAACAAATTCCATATTAAAAACTTTAGATGTTCAACCAACAGTTGAATCATTTTTTGATATTGATTCAAGTGATGAAGAAGATACACCAACAATAAATAATAATGATGATTTTTTTTCATTGGATCAAACATTACCATCACAACAATGTATTCTATTAGAAAGTGATTTAAATAATGAACAACAAGATACAAGAGAAGCAACAATGTGGTTAGGAACTGATGATGGAATGTAAATTAGAATTTGATTTTATATTTCAATATGATATAGAGAAAAAATTTCTTTTTTCTAGAATATTAATATTTCAATGTACAGAAACAATGAAAACAGTTGCACGTAAAAGTCGTATTGTAAAACAACTTGGTTCTCCAATTCATTCCATCTTGTATGTTTTTAAATTATGACTGTGGACATATATTTTATTTTTAAAATCAATTTAGATATACTGACAATAAAGTATTTGTTGCATTAAGTCATGGTGAATTATGTGTTTTTCGTCGAGATTTAAGTAAATATATTATATATAGAATTTAAATCAAAGGAAAAAATATACATTTATTTTAGGTGGTCGTTGGGATTTAGATTGTCCAACAATTCGATCAATTGAAGAAGATTCCATTCGACATGGTAGTGGACAAAATGATAATGATGATGGAGATAATATTGATCCAATATCTGTTATGGCATTAGCTGCTGGAAGATTATGGTGTGCTATACGAGATCGAATATTTGTTGTTTGTCCAAATTCATTAAATGTTGAAGTAAAATAAATATTCATTCTTTTCTAATCTCTCTATAAAAAAATCGATTTTAGCATTCATTTGTTGTTGATGATTGCCATCGTCATATATGTAGTATAGCTACAGGTGGTTCATCAATGCATTATGTATGGATTGCATCTCAAGGTTCACATGAAATTCGTCTTTATCATGCAACACATTTTGTTTGTCTACTTGAAACAAGTATAAGAACAGCAGTCACACAAAAACTTCAAGGTTAATTGAATTTAAAAGAAAAAAAGAAATACTAATAAATCAAAGATTTTTTTTTTAATTTAGTATGTGATGATATAATTCGAGCTCATAAATTAGGTTGTTTACGTGTCAGTGCTCTTCATATTTGTAAAGAAACTTTATGGGTTGGTACAAGTGCTGGTGTACTAATAAATATTTCTGTACCACAATTAATTGATTCAGGAAATAATAAAGTAACAGCAAATTCACTTCAATTAAAAGGTTTATCATTTGGTCATGCTGGACCTGTGCGATTTATAATATCAACTGATACAACAATTCTTTCAACGTCAGAAGAAACAACAAGTGTTAAAACTGTTGTACTTAGTATTGGAGATGGTTTTGAAGATTATGCAAATAATGATGAAACATTGGGTAAAGATGATGCTCTTTCTCATGTGATAGTTTGGCAACTATGAAAGAGAATTTTTGTATGTATATAAATATATATATATAAACATTATGCTGCTGGTCAGCAATGATTTATATCTTCATCTTTTTTTTCTTTCTTTCTTTCTTTCGTTGTATTTACCTTTGTGTGTGCGTGTGTGTGTGTGTGTACGTTTGTGTTCAATAAAAAAAATCAACCTTAAAATAATTCTTATTGTTTTCTTTCTTTTTATTGAAAATCAAAATTTAACATTTTCCTTTAAAAATAAGTACAGCAACTTTACCAACATCAAGTATAATACGTTTTTGATTTTCGGTAGTAATTGAAAGTGCAAAATCTTTTCCGAGTATACATTGCCATGATGGATTATGTAATTTATCGAATTCAAAACGAATATATTTCGCTAATGTTGAACGGGATTTCTCTGAATATCCATTAAATTTAATAAATGCTTGTTTAGTAATACGTACTGCATCTTGTTTCATTGATTCAGTCATGTTACTGACACGAACAATAACATTTGATTGAGAAATAGTTTCTCCATTAATAAATGTACATGTTAGACAAACGAATAATAGTACGAAGCAATAATTTTGAATCATTTTGTTGTATGAATGTAAATGATTATTGTTCGAATAAATATACTGAAGTTTTTTTTTATCTTGATTGTTATTCTATCCGAGAATTATATTGAAGTTTTTTATCAAAATAATGAAATATTGATTTACATTTATTAATCTTTTTATCGTATCAAATGATTTAATAGAATATGTATTATATAATGATTTATATAGTGTAAACCTTTTGATCTCAATATTTCTTAGGGGATAATTATTTGATAGCAAATATCTATCTGTTAGAATAGCACAGAGAAAAACAAAAATAAATTAGTTATACAAGAGAGATATATGAGTGAAACATTATGCTAAGAATAATCAGATAGTTAGAAAAACAGAAGAGAATAACGAAACATTAGAATGTTCTTAGAAATCTACCAAACCATCGAATACAATTAACATTAATCATTACTGTTGACTTTGATGTCTAATGATTTGACTAAATAGATTTACATATGGAATAAATCGTTTTACAATATTCTAAAAGACTATCAGAAGAACGTTTCTTACAGACAAAGTTGATTTTGTTATTTAACAAATTATTGAATTTGAATTTTCCTCGAGGAAAAAAATTACTTAAAAGTGTTTTATTTTTTCAATGATTAATAATACAGTTGAATAAAAAAAACAGTATTAAAAAACTTAAATTGTATTTCTTAGTATCAAATTACATCCATTTCTTTGCATAATGTAAACAACAAATTAATAGGAAAAAAACAAAAATGTTTAATGAAAATAGAAAGAAGCTAATTCAAACTGATGTACTTTCAATCAATTTTTGGTTCATGGCAGGTATTGATTATCAATATAGTTATTAATCTAACTCAAGATAAGAATTATAAATAATATCTTCTTTCTCGAAAAACATGAGTTTCTCCATATTTTTTGTGAATTCTCATAGTTTTTGTGAAAAATTCATCTTATCAAGAGGATATATTTTTTAAACGTGGTTGATTTTAAAATAAATTTATTCTATATAATATTGAGAAAAAAGATGTCCATGTGTCATTTCGTTTTATCGGTAGGAGCTGCAGGTTTCTAACTTTGTATAAAGAAAAGTAAATATAGAACAACACCTTTACCGCTTAGAAAGATTTTAAATCACCCTAGGTTTATAGTATGGTCATTTATTCGATGGGGTATTATATAATATGCTTTTGAACGGTGTTGGATTTTACATTTGGCGTTTTCATTTAAGTAAATTATTCCATAAAATAAATGGTTATTAATATAAAAATCTTCAATTAACGATATTTATTAATGAAATTTTAATGTTTTCTCAGTACAATTAAATATGCTTATTTATTTCGTTTTAATTCTCGTTTATCTCAATTTATAAAAAAAGATCTTTTTTATTTTTCATGGATATTTATAATTGTTTTCGATTCATTTATTTATTATTTAATTCGAAAATTTTATCTTGTTCAAATATATTTCGTACAACTGAAACGTTATTATTAAAATTCAATTGTCAACATTTATATCACGCCAATACATATCTTGGTCAATTAGCATTTATATATTTTGTAGTTTTCATTTGTTGTGCAATGATGATTTCAATAACTAATAATGGTTTTCATCGTATTCGATGTATTAATAAATCAAGACTAAATGAAAATACCGATATTTTTTTATTTTTATTTATCTAGGTATTTGAAAAAATTTCGAAATTGAAAGTTTAGAACAGAAAAATCCAATGAAAGAATTATTAGATAAACTTGATATTAATTCAATTTGGGTAATTCTTATTTTTTTGATTAAAACCATTAAAGACATTGCAATCATTGAGAACTTGTACAAATGTTGATCTTATTGTTGAAGATATAGATTACTTTATGTATACTGTGTTATATGACAAAACAAGTATATCATTTTGTATAAAGCTTCTTTTGTTCGATAATCTGATTTGATGTTGTATATGTATGTCTTAATATAAATAAATATTATTTTATGGGTCATTGTCTATCTTTAGATGACTACGTACTACTCAAAAAATTGGAAAATAATTTTTCTTAATTTAAACTCATTTAATACATTACTGTTTTGGAGATAGGAACTTTGGATAAATGTGACGAAACTCGTGTAGGTAATGCATATCTCACCATCAACATTTAGAAACTTTCATTTTTTCCTAAAGTAGAAGGTTACCATTAAAATCTTTCTTAATCTCACTAATTATTAATAGCAACTCGATATGCAAGTATTCTTGAATAAAGTTCATTTTAACAGAGTATATACTGCATAAAAAAGAAAAGATTAATGCAAGACTATCGTATATATTAATTTATAGAAAAAAGAATAAAAAAATGTAATATAATTTTTAAGAAAAATAAATAGTTTATGAAGATTTCTTCTTTGGTTTTGATGGACGCAATATTTTTCGTAGAATTAAAATCGTCCAATAAATATTAAGTACTCTTGTTAATAAACATAAACTTCCTTGCATTAATCCAAAAGTTACACTTGTTAAATCACCTGCATTAAATGCCATTTGAAAAAAAGCGGGTGCAGCACCAAAAGCATATCCACATACAATCGATCCATAAATAAGACGACATACTAAAAAACTAAACATAAATAAGTATCCAAAAATAGCATATAAACGAGGACGATTATGATATAATGCTTTTAAATTCAATGGAATTGTTGATAATTCTTCAGCAAGTAGATAAAAATGACACGGATGACAAATTCCATTTATTGCACCTATACAATATATTACGTAAAAATAAACGTATAAAATATAAAAATAAAAAAAAAGATCTAACCAGCATAAAATGCTAGAAGAATTATAATATGATGTGCTAATGCTGCTGTTGTTCTTACTGATTTATAAAATAACATTAATAATAAATCATATGTAAAATAACCTAATGAATAGCATATACTATAAGTCATAATTTCATCACCAGTTCCATAAACTCCTCCGCCAGCTATTCGATTAACTTGTTTTAAATTAACTGAATAATGTGCAAAAAAATTTATAACACTACCAACACATATAATTGCATGAATTGATGAAATAACATAACTTTTAAGTAATGGTGTTAATTTTGATGGTAATAAATAAAAAATGAAACTATTTACAACTATTGAGAGAAATATTATTGTATATTTTGGTACATCCGGTGAAGGTGTATTGCCAAGATCTATATTATTTACATATATATATGTACATTGATAAAGCAAAATATAAAACTTACATTCAAAACGTGCATGATCATCAAGCGTCATTGATAGTAATGATGAAAAACAAAAGAGTATGGTGCGGTATACATGTGTCCTCACGGTCTACTAGTGTTGAGAACAGAACGAGAGAAAAACGGTGTATCATTATAATTTATTTTTTTCATATACATCCTATATAGAAAATGACACATGTAGTGTACCATATCGATGAAGAAAAAAAAATGAATTGAATGAATTCTTCGCTTAATATTTTCGTATGATGATATGGATATAAAATATCACATAACAAAACAATTCTTAGTACAATCTATTTGTTCATGTATTAGACTTATGAAAGAAGAAAAAGAAGAAAAAAAGTTAGATTTTAAATAGAAAATAAATATATATTTTTCTTATTGATTTATTAATCATCAACGATGAGTCATTGTCAAGTTTGTTTTATTATTAAGAGCTATTATTCTCTGTGTGAATAATAAACTAATTATAGATTTATTTAACTCATTCAATATACCTGGTTCTTTTTAAATCTATACCATCTGTAGTTATATTATTCAATACTTTATTATATATTTCTCACCAATAATAATTTTTTATTTTTGATATCGTTAAATCAAAAGTTAATTCTGTTTTCTATGTATTAACGAATACTGGAATTAAAATATATAAACTAATAGTTAATAAACGATCAATAGCTATTCTTGCATGAAAATTTGTATAGTAATCAAAAATTATATCAATATAATATAAAATATTTTTAATAATTCGAGAAATAATTCATTTATCTGTTAATGTTTTATAATGCTTACGTTTTAATAGCTAAATTCAGTAATTAGCCTATATAGTAACAATTCAAATGGTTATTAAAAGTTTATGTGAAAATATTTTTTAATATGAGGTGTAGATATAATAAAAGCAATACTCACGCTCAAGATGATGTTTATACTTTGATAGGTTGTGAATGTGAATATGAGATCGATTTCATCAAACACACCCACACCAACATCCTCAAGATGATGATGAAATTATTCAGTTTACCTTCGCCGACAGAAATTCGCCGAAAATGAACTTCACCAAATCAATTTTCGTCGCATAAGTTTATTAAGAGTAACTGGGTGTGGGTGAGTGTTGGTGAAGATTGGTTGGGTATGAGTGAAGATGAGCTTGCTGTGGCGGTAGCTGTGAGTGTATGATATCTATAGCACCTATACCCACACCCTAACAAAGGATTTGTCAAATACCTGAAAAAAAGAATCAGTCAAGGCATATTATGAAATTATGTCTTCCAATTTTCCTGTTTTGTCAAAGTCTTCAAACATTTCTGAGAAAATTCGATACTAAGAAAATAATATCAACTATGATCATTGAATTTTTGTGTTAGTATAATCAACATTTTTGGAAAATCCGAACAAGCTAGTTTCATTTATGCAATTTATAACAATCAGCTACATGTATTTACACTTACAAATGAGTTATATTTCATCTTCACTTTATTCTATAATATTATCAGTTATATTAGACTTTTTCTCAAGTTGTAATAACAAATTAAAAGAACAACTATTTGACACTGATAATATAGATAAAAACAAGCAAAGACCTCCAAGTTACTTGTTATTAATCATAACATATAGGTATTGATTCAATATTGTTCTTATATTAAATTCATTTTATTTTACAAAAAGAAACAAAGAAAAAAGAAAAGAATTTTTACAATATTCATTTCAAATATTCAACATTTCTAATTAATATAATGTTGATGAATAGAAGCAGGAATACCAGTTATTGGTTGATAATAATTA